AGAGAGGATTGACGCTGTTCGTCGTGCACTCGATGACGCAGCGATATTCCTCCGAGAGTCCCACCCTCTAAAATCTCAACCCAATCCAACCCCCGCACAAGTGACATACACTTATACACACACACACACACACACATACACACACTAAGACTCCGATCTCTCAGCTTCGCAGAGATATACTCGCATATATGCAGTCCCACCGTACACAACACACAACTATACAGAACATAACTCCCCCACGACCATAAAAATAATTAAACAGAAGTACACGCGTTTACAGTTTATTATAATATATTCTGTATAAAAAAAATAGTTAATTCAACTCTCTGTGAAAATAAGATTGGGAGAGAGGAAAAGCGGGATTCGATTGAGAGGACCCGTCTTGCGGACTCGCGTTCATTTTTCCGACACGGTTTTTCTTCTACGACGGAAAAAAGAAAGTGGGAAAACAAAGAATATCGGGCAGGAGATTGAGAAGAATGATTCGTTTTTGTGGTTTTACTTTTCTTTGTTCATGTTCACGAAAATCTACGATCAGTAACTACATCAGAAAGGTAAGGAACAGGGAAGCACACGCGAAATAGAAAAAAAGATTGATATTGAAAATATTTTAATATCTATACATTACGCGTATGTACTAATAACGTTATTCGCGTACATTTTGATGTTACGGTTTCGAAATGTATGTTTTCATACATTTCATCAAAGATTCGCGCCAGTTATCCGTTATTTTTCTCCGTCTCCACCCGAAACACGACATGGTTTCCGACGATATCTCGACAATCGCGAAAAATCCAACACACAAATTCAACTAAATTTAATTCAATTACATTTAATCAAAATCCGGCCACGGAGAGATTCGTTGAATTCTCGATAGTAAGAACCGAAACGCGAGTGTATTTAAATGATCTTTGAATATGTATACTAACAAATACTATATTTATATTAAATTAATCCGATCGATTAATATGCATTACTATTAAACTATTAAATCTATTAAATTTGATGAGAGAGATGTAAACATGAAATAATACAAAAAAAAAAATTAATATGAATATAATATATAGTATGTTTATCAAAAGAATCGATGTAAGCCCATATCGAGTTTTAAAGTTTCATCGAATTTTCCAGTTATCCGTTATTTTTCTCCGTCTCCACCCGAAACACGACATGGTTTCCGACGATATCTCGACAATCGCGAAAAATCCAACACACAAATTCAACTAAATTTAATTCAATTACATTTAATCAAAATCCGGCCACGGAGAGATTCGTTGAATTCTCGATAGTAAGAACCGAAACGCGAGTGTATTTAAATGATCTTTGAATATGTATACTAACAAATACTATATTTATATTAAATTAATCCGATCGATTAATATGCATTACTATTAAACTATTAAATCTATTAAATTTGATGAGAGAGATGTAAACATGAAATAATACAAAAAAAAAAATTAATATGAATATAATATATAGTATGTTTATCAAAAGAATCGATGTAAGCCCATATCGAGTTTTAAAGTTTCATCGAATTTTTGAAAAAGTGTATCGCGATTTAGAAAAATTCAATCCGATGGCTGTTCGGAATGAAGATGAAACTTGGATCGCACTTTTGATAAGTTCGTATTATCTATCGATCGATCGGCGATGTAAAACATCGATCGAAATTTCAACGAATCGCGCGTAAAACGAACGAAAACGAACGGAAGCGATCGTCGAGGTACTCGTCGCACGCGTTTCCGCGATCACGTCGGTATTCATTCCTCTCTTGGAACCAATTAGCAACGAATCCACGGCGACGGAAAGCCCCTTCGAATTTGACACTTCCCTTATCCTTTTCTCGTCGATAAGAACGAATCGATATTATATCTTCGCGATACCATCATCGCCTCCCTTCGTTTCTGTATGCGCGCGTTTATTTGCACATATACACACATTAATTTTGTTTTCAATCTTTCTCGCACTTCTTTCTCTCCCGTTTTACGCACCCCTTTTTCGTCATCGATATTCTCCGTTTTCTCCGTAGTCTCCGTATTCGTCGTACGTTTTGATAAAATTATGATTATCGTTTTTTTTTTTTTCCAACGACATGTTAGTCATGAAGACGCAATCGAACGAAGGAAAAAGTAGAATGCAATCAATCTCCAATCTATATTTATCTCCTCCAATCGCTTATCCCTCGTTCCCCCGTTCCCGATATTTTGAAGGAATCTCTATATTTCTATACGAATCTTATCGCGCACGCGTCCTTGATATACGTAAACATGTTAGCGAGCAAATGATGATAGAGAGATTAAGAAAAAAGCGAACATGCGAGTTAGGGAACCGGAGCGAGGGGACAGAGCGTTTGTTTTTCGATGAAGGGGAATGAATTTTCGAGAGACCTTTATAACGCGATACGCCAGACACACAGAGCACATGTTTATTAAGAGAAAAAAATTTTAATGAAATTAAAACGTCGATTATATATACGTGAGTGCAGATTCACGACGAATAAAGGGTACGAAATAATAAAAACGTCCCTCGTTAACGTCACACGCGTCATACGAGGACGCGTGTCTCGTTGATCTCTCGACGATCGAGACACGACGGTTCGTTCGGAAGGATGGATCGTCGGCACCATCCTCTCTGATCGGACGGGGGGCGCGAAACGAGAGGCTGACACGAATAGAGGGAGCGAGAAGAGAAAGAGCATAAGACAAAAATTTTATCGATATTTTCAATACGCCCGCATACACGCAAATCTTGTATAAAAATTGTAATGTAACACAACTGCTCCTGCCGAGAGCCGAGTGACAACGCGTCGGTGTTCCTTCCCGCGAACATATCCTATTCGAGATCTATCCAGGAAAAATTCCAACGGATACGCCGCGCGAGAAACGATCTCCCGAGGACATTCGATATCTCCTACGGCTAAAGAGGAACGCCGACATTTCACGTTGTGCCTCGCGCGATTGGCGTTTTAGTATACTAAACTAAAAAAAAAAAAAAAAAGAAGATAACCCACGTATACCGAAAGACTCAGGTGTGAGAAAAGTCAGTATAGCTACGGTCCTGGTTAAATCGGAACAATTACACGAATTCGTAAGTTACGTCGCGCTGAGCGAACGCACGTGCGTGGCTCCTCTGCACGAGATGCGCGCCGATCGATCATGCGATCCTCGATCGCCTCCTCCTCCTCCTCCTCCTCACGAAGTAAGCAGGTAGGTAGGTAGGTAGGAAATGGCACGAAGAGAAGGACTCCTCGGTCGTACAAATCCGTCGAGTCTTTCGACGCGCCAACTCTCTCGTCGGGGAAATTAATCGCAGATCTCATCGCGACCAGGATGAAAACGGTATACGATAAGACAGACGGAAATTGTATACGTTACGCGCGAGATCGCGCCGCCGAGATTAAATCGCACGCGAGAGAAGAAGATCTCTCAACTCGATGATTTTGATGAATTTAAATTTCCCTTCGATCTTTCTTTGTACGAGAAATGATTTGGGATACACGGTCAATTTCGGCGCGCACGATCTTCGATCAAGAACTAAAAAGATTAATTATATCTATATCATAGTTATCGAGAACGAGACAATCACAAGAAGTATACTAATCGATGACGGTCGATGCGTTTTACCTGTCGTCGCGCGCAGCGTCGAGGACGACGGCGCGTTTTTACGAATTATATTTGTTGAACGATATATTGTTTAATTTTGTTGAGGCTCCTCCCGTCTTTGGCTGCGCACGACGATACGTTAAATCATATACGGTCGTATAAGAGCGATCGATTTCCCCAACGAAGAATGACGCTTAAAGGATGCTTACAGCGTTCACAAATCCGATTTGAAAATATCCCTGTAAAAAATGCAGGTATTTTTTGTAATGCATACTTTCATATATGTATGTTTTCATTATATTTTACAATTTATTTATTTATTTCTTTTTAATGTCATTCATAATATGTCAACACAATAGTGCAAACTTAATTTGAAGGAATTAATGTAGGTTGGCATAGCAATCTATTGAAATCCATTCAATTATAATTAGAGTTTTTTTTTTTTTTAATCGAGATATGCGAAGGGGAATTCGAGAAAAATAAGACTCTTTTTTAAAAAATATAAAATATAGAAACAAAGAAGAGATCGCACGATCGAGCACGCCCGCGGATATCGGCAGATCCGAGTGAAGACCGGAGCGACCGGACGTCGTATTGGCTGTTCGTTTTATAAATGAGTTCACTCGATTGAATCATCGCCTTAAAAATGTATACGAAATAACAGTGTAAGGTTTATCTAAGTAATAATCATGTTAGAGGGTAAATCGTAACAAAGATTTTATGAGCGGCGATACGAGCGAGACACGAGGACGGT